AAATTATTTATGCAAAACTAACAAAATTAAGGAACTGATGCAAAAACACTATTTTTTCACTATTTATCTGGAATATAGAAGAGTAAAATATCTTAAAGGTGCAGAGTAAAGACTAACATTGATAAAAATTTAAAAAAAGAGAAAAAAAGAAAGTTATGTCCATTAAAATGGTATAAAATGACAATATTAAGAATTAATCATTTAGAAATAGAACATTCTAAACAAGACAGCTATAGGTTTTGAATACGCTTTCATGTAGTACTGAAATTGATATTATATAATATGACATTTGAGACGACAATAGCACGAAATATTGACGGCTAGTTGGGAGTTCGCGACTCCGCCCAATACCGAATATATTTTCTCCCAATGTCGTCAATATTTCGAGCTATTGTCGTCTCAAAATCGTAATTAGTTTTGTATCGCGATTCTAAAGAATTTAACATACGAAAAAGAAAAAAAAAAAACAACTGATAAACGATTTTCTTTGATCAAAAGCGAAATTCTCCTTACGAGCGCGCGCTATGGCGCAAGCAACAAGCGTAAAAATTTGACGCGAGTGCTTCAAACTCAAGCTCAAGCTCAAGCTTTCCTTTTCTTCGCGCTTTAGCCAATCAGAAACCTTAATTTTGAAACGACAATACCACAAAATATTGTCGACTCAAAAATATAAGAGACTATTTAGTGAATCACGATGCTATAATATATGCAAAATTAATAACTGTATTTCGGTATCCCAGTTTTTTATTTATGCTGAAGCTATCAAAGACTTACTTGTAATGTTCGGAGCAGAAGCTGTAGTGTCTGGGGTTGGAGAAGGCCCTTCTGTTGGTGTTACTGTTGAGGGAAACGTAATAATTAAAACAATAACTATAGTTAGAAAACTCATTAATAATTCATGAAGAAAACACAATAGAAATCATGACCATGAAGGCGATTTTATATCTGATATAGATTCRTCTTCATTTGCATAAACTTTAACTTGGATTTTCTCTATCAAACTTGGTTCATTTCGTAAAGAATTCTGTACAATACGAGAACATACATCATGAGTTTTCTAAGCCGTTTAATAAACTCGCAGATCGTGTTTTATCGGGTCTAAAACCACTCGGCTGCGCCTCGTGTTTTATACCCGATAAAACACTCCTGCTCGTTTATTAAACAGTACGTAGACAACTATAGGTTTTTAATACGCTTGCATGCATGTAGTACTGAAATGAATATTATAATATATGCATATCATAACCGTATATCGGTATTCCAGTTTCTTTTTTATGCTAAAGCTATCAGTTCATATGTATTAACTAGTTATATTATTCCCAATAGATTTGATTTTTGATGTTTAAGAGTTAGTACAGTAGCATACCTTTACTTCTCGCTCTAACCATCAACCGCACATAATATGGTAGAGCACTAGATAGTTCGTCGCTGATGCTTGCAATGTATTCATTAGTGTCATTCACAGTAAGGTTCTTCAACACAAACCATGCACGACCTATTGTCAAGTTTCCAATAAATTCTACTCTCTTTTTCAATGCCGCATCAATATCTTCGTTTATGTTCACCTTTCCATCATATTTATTAGTATTGATAAACTGAGGATCGGGGATGTTGCCCTTTCTTATTCCCCAGCTGACAGCAAGGATTTCATTTTGTTCCGTAGTATTCCACATAAACAAGGCATCTTCTCCAATGGAACCCTCGATATCTGATGGACTATATATGGAGTTTTCTTTGTCTAAAATATAGAAAAAAATAAGGTACTATATTATATGATAACAATGAGCTACTGTCTGCATTCATAACTTAATTACATGAAGAAAATGTGTACATTTTATAAAATAAGTAAGGTAGCAAATTTAAGAACATGATAACTCTTGTAATGTAGGCACAGAACTAGCCTTATTGCAATCAAAGCACAGCCATTACACTAGTAGTAGCCGAATAAAATTATTTAATAACAGTTTTCTATTTTAGAACTCTGATCTAAACACTTCCAAAGATTCACAATAGTTTGTTTTATCAACCATAAATTTAATAAATATGATCCGAGCTTTGGGCCTACTCGGCCATCCTCAGGGAAATGAAAAACGTTACAAAGAAAAACAAAAATTTTCTTGAAAATTTTTCAATCGAGACGTTGAGGGACCTGCTTATCTTCATATCTATACACACCCTCTGGTGAATTGCATAATCCCCCACGCACTAACAACAACACAATTGCAGTTTAGGGACTAGTTTCGTCCGTTTATTAGGACCTTTTCAAAATAACTGAACCTAACTGAATGATTACGTTTCGATATACTGTTTATACTCGTGATGAACGAGAGCTCGCGCAGAAAACTTGCGCGCGCTGTAAAAAGAAGAAGAAGAAAGAAATTTTACGTTATAACTGTTCTAGGGATCTTCATAAAGTTCCATTCTGTTTTGTTATTTATTATTTTATCTTGTTCTTCTCTGCTAATTTTAATTTTAATTTTAGCTAATTATAATTTTAATTTCAACTGAGTCTGTTAATAGATTTATTTATAATTAATGCTAAGGAAGCGGAAAGAATTGTCGCAGATTCTTTTAAAAGTCTGCACGAAATGACGTACAGTCCTGTAGCCTTGTGAGAAGACAGTTTATTTAAAAGCATTTCAACTACCTCCAAAGTCGCATGCTCTAACTTGAATAAAGAGTACACAGGTGTAATATAGGAATCAAAACTTTTTTCTCCAGTTGGTAAAACCGAAGATAAATTTGGCCCAATATTGGTAAAGTAAGAATTCAGGATTTAACATTGGTCTAAAGGGTCAGTAAATGCTTGACCGTTCATTTTAAGTTCATGTATAGAGGTGTTATTTGTAGATTTACGATTTGTAACTTGGTTAACTGTTTTCCAAATTGCATTTGAATTACCATATTTATGTTTGATTTGAGACTGATAAAAAATAGCTTTTTCCTTTTTTACTTCATTATTAGTTCTGTTCCTTTGTTGTTGTTGTTGTTGTT